TGAATAGCATAAGTATAAATCCAATTAATAATAATACAATATTTATCAATTGGTTGCATGAACAGAACATGCAATGTATAGCAAACTATACAGTTATAGTTATTGACAGCAATGGACCATCTTCTCAACACAACTACAGCACTATTGGAAACAATCCTAATATAACACTGGACACTCTTAATAATGGCAGTAATTATTCATTTATTATTATTCCTATTGATACTATTGGGAGAGAAGGACCTCCTTCATCATTAATACAGTATATATGGAATGGTAAGTACTACACACACACACACTCATTGTATTTCTTATAGTACCAGCTCAAGTTGTTAATATTAGTTGGGATCAGATATCAACTGATACTATTACAATATGGTGGAATAACAATGAAGTATGTTATTATAAGATATTAAATTCAATAGATGCATGTATTGATAATACTTATATAGGACCATTATACTACACCACTTCCTCCTACTCAGTATTACATTATTAGTGTATACAATACATCAAACAGTATTATATACACTAATAATACAACTAATACTAATATTACTATCACTGGACTACCTCTTACTGATACAAACTACACTATTAGTATCATTCCTGTTAATGTTATTGGACAAGGACCATCAGCTACTGTTAATGGTATGACAGTTTAATTATAAAATACTGAATATCATTGGTTTATGTATCAATAATTATTATGTAGTCAGTATAACTAATGCAATGACCAGTAGTTCAATTACAAGTATATTATCAGGTCTGTACAGTTGATACATTATTCATTATTGTACATTATTAGTTACATTAACTACTGATATTAGTACCAGTACACCATTAATTTATATAACATCTACTTCAAGTAAGCTGTGCAATACATGTATTATTAATAATAAAATTAATGAATAAATAAATAGATATAGTTACAAAAACCTCCAGTACTGATTCATCATACACACTGTCAGTTGATCCATCAACAACCACCATTGAACTCACTCCTACAACTACATTTACTAGCACACAATCAACTACTACTACTATTACTACTGACTCTGCTACTGGTTCTAATGCTGTTCCTATTATATCAGGAGCTATTGGAACAGTATTTTTTATAATAATAATTATTATTATTATATTGGTAATAGTATTACTAGTACTG